GTAATTGAAACCTAAATCACAAAATCAAAACCCGTATAACCCGACAAAATTAATTTTGAAAGCAGTGGTTAAGAAAAGAAAGCGTCGAAATGTTGGTTTGTACATACCACCATCTTCTTACATTAATAATTTAGTAAGCTTCTTCTCCAGCTACTCTGCCCCTCCGCACATGCTGTACTCAAGTCTGCTTGTGAAGTGCCCTTCTCCAAAACGCATGACCATGGCATTGTTTTGGATTCAGTTCGAAGAATCCCACTTTTTTTGTGACGTCTCACTGACGTTTAATCACTGTCAATCTTCTTATTCTTCTTGTTAATTTTACTTCACCCAGCAAAGAGTGATACATAGGACTCAGTTCCCCTCTGGTAGGTCTTCTCACATGCATTAGGAAGAAGAGAAGTGCCTTCCTACACTGATTCTTGTAGAACCCCCACTCGTTACTCCCATTCTGAGATTACTGTTACTACTCTTTTCCTTTGTCACTTGTGCTTCTCCCTTGGCCATCACTGTATCACTCTTGCACCTAGTCCTGCTTGCTCTTCTAATTTCTGGACTTATCTCTGGTAAAAACATACGAATGCTACTCGGCGAATTTCGGCCATTAATTATAGTTTGAACTGTACAATGGCAGGTTTGTTTTACAGTTGATATATATTTTTTTATTGTGAATATGGTAAAAGACAACCAAACTTACTGAAATCACCCTAACCCAGTCTAAAATAACCTAACATAACTATCTCCATCAGTACTGACGCTTCTGTGTTTACATTTGGTCAGACCCGTGACACGACTCGATACAAATCGTTGATTTATTCAGACGTGGTGATCAGTCTGAATTAATGTATTAACATCACTCAGAGTAACACTTTTCATAGAAATAATTGTGTGTGTGTGTGTGTGTGTGTACCTTCTGACTTGAAAAATTAGACACATGTGTAACATCATCTGGGTATCCTTATTTGTAGACGTTTCGCCATCCAGTGGTTTTATCAGTACAAATTCAAGGACATAATGGGAAGACTACAAATGTATACAAACGACGAGGTAATCGTTCCTCGGCCTTGGAGTTGGTGAAGAGTAATACCTCCTAAGTCGAGGGGGAGAGAGGGTAGATTCACAGCTTCTGGCTACTCAAGTGATTATATGTTGAGGTTTATTTGAAATAATAGGTTTTTTAACTCTCAGTAATAAACTTAAGTTTTTCACAGGTCTTTCAACTTTATAAACAGATTCCTCATCTCCCGGTAATAAGCAGTAGGTCTTTCCACCCGGTTATAAATAGGTCTTTCCACAGTTATAAACTAAGAAAGCTTTCTATATTTGTAAACAATAGGCCTTCCCAAACCCCGTAATAAACAACGCACATTCATAAACAATAGTACGTGTATTTTAACGCACATTAATAAACAACAGATGCATTTCAACGCACATTAATAAACAGGTATATTTCAACGCACATTAATAAACAATAGCTGTATTTCAACGCACAGTAATAAACAATAGGTATTTCAACGCAAGTTATAGACAATAGGTCTTTCAATGCAGTTATAAACAATAGGCTTTTCAGCACACCTTTGAGCAACAGGACACATACGGTGACCGGGGTTCGATCTCCGGCACGAGTGCAAACTTGGGGCGTTTCCTTACATCTGCTGCCCCTGTTCACCTAGCATTAAGTAGGTACCTGGGTGTAAGTTGACTGCTGTGAGTCGCATCATGGAAGGTGGTAGTATACCTTAAATAGAGCTGGGCTTTGAAATGAGCTGAGGTGGGATAACAGCTCTTAGCCTGTAAAAAAAATGTGCAAAAAAAAAAAACCTGTGGCTTAGGTTCTCTTCCCCAGCATACAACCCATACGAGTCGGTTAACATCCAGGTACCTGCTTACTGTGAGATGAACAGGAACAAATAAGTTTATTTAGGTACAGGTACCCATAAATACAGTTACAGAAATTATCATACATAGTAACGTGTAAATTACCTAGGACAACCCTCAAAAAGGCAGATAAAGCGACTTATTTCCACTGGGGTCCTAGAGAGCAACAGTCGTTAAATCGCCCATGCATCTCGCCCCCGGCAGAGGATTGTACCATGGTACTTGGGTTGCGAGTGTAGCACGCCGCTACTGAGTTACGAGGCAGGCTAGGTTAGGTAAGGTTTGTTAGGAAACAGGACAAGTGTTTCCTGACGCGGGTATAGTCATATGATGACCCGCAGCTGGAGCTTTTGGTCATCAGACCGAGGCCTTCCGTTTACTTTTAACGAGGTTGTGTTGTATGTATGTGTGTAACCATGACGAGCAGTAGAACCTTGAGCCGGGTCCCCAGTGTCTAGGAGAGAACAGTTGACCCATCACGATTTTTTAACCCTCTCTTCTACTTGAAAATACGGTAAGAAATAGTTTAAAGGAGTTATGGAATGGAAACAGTTATGTTTTGAACCTATTGAGTTTTGGTAGCCTAAGAATGAACGTAAGCCAACCTAATCTAAAATTTACCTCTAAATTTGAGTTTGGTTAGTTTGTTACGTTACCTTGCCTACCAATGGATGAGCCTTTCCCTTTCTCACTTGAAGGGTCGTATTTAGAAGATTTAAATTTAGGCTGTGAATTTTAATTCGTAAATTCAGAGAAAAACTGTAAGTCAAGGTGGAGTTGAACAATACAAAAGGAAATACAGGAGACCCGTTAACAAAAGGGGCAAGTGCAAAAAACTCTGCATTATTGTGGAAGTGACAAGAAAAGTATACAGGTGCGCGAAGCAATTAGGTGTACAAACCTTCCTTAAGCTTAACATGGTCGCAGATAATTAGCAACACAATCACCAGTCAAGAGCTGCTCTCGCCTATGAACTGTGTTGGTGACGTGGTCTGTGGTGGTGACGTGGGCTGTTGTGTTCACTTTGTGTGGCCAAGCGGCTGTATTAGTTGCCTTGTGTGATTTATTATTTACCTTTAACAACTAAGCCCGTGGTGTCTCGTGTTTATAGTTACAGGAGTAGAGCTAAACCTGTTCAGTGTTTGTATTACTGGAGCAAAGCTCTGCTTGTGATGTTCCAACTTGTGTGTGTTGTGCAGCTCCAAGGGATCATAAAAAAAGTACCTCTACAGTTAGTACTAAGCTTATGGCATGGCGTGACAAATTAACAGTATAAAATAAAGTGAAGTTGATAAATACGACATATTATGAATTAGACACTTGTGCAACACTTGGATATCATTATTGTGGAAAGGTTTCACCAACCAGTGGCTTCCCCAGTCCAGTAAGACATGTGCAACACTCGGGTAACTTACTGGCGAAATGTTTCGCTTACATAAAAGCTTCTTCAGTCATTTACAGGAGAATATAACATTGAGCATATCAGAAGTGGAGAGATAGTTTTGAGGTGATCAAGAATACCAATCTACTTTTGTCTCCAGTGTTATATTCTCTTGTATTTGACTGAAGAATCCCTTGTGCAAGCGAAATCCTTTCGGCAATAAAGATACCTAAGTGTCGTTCATATTTCTTAGTTATATGACATGAAAACTAAGTCTATCATATTTCTTAGTTATATGACATGAAAACTAAGTCTAACACTAAGGGTTACGGGAAAAGTGGCTAGATGATCTGCCTGCTTCTTGATATTTCTCTAGGGAGCTAACGTGTGACCTTTGTGGGCGGATATTTTAACCTCACTTTCACATCACACCTAGCAGTGGCAGCCATTTTGTAGATGCCTTAGCTCATGCAGCCATTTTGTATCGTGTTTTACCACGGGCAGTCATGGGCTTTATCATTCCATTACAGAGAATAATCTTAGAAACGGAAGAAGATATGAAGTATTAGTTTGAGGTGATCAGTCCCTCAGCAAATACATCAAGACTGATGGATTGGACATCGCTTATCAACTGAGGCTGAGGGTCTGATCACCTCAAACTAAAAAAAAAAATATATATAAATTTTTAAAGGGGTGGACGGGTAAGCTAGTAGATGGCCTCGGTCAGATGACCAAAAGCTGCAGTGTTGGGTCATCATATAACTAAGACCCGCGTCCGGAAATACTGGTTTTGTTTAAAGCCACTGGTTGGCGAAGCGTTTCCACAGTATAGATACCCAGTGTTGCACGTGTCATATTCATCTACTTGTCGGTTTTTATACCATTAATATAAAACACTGGCAGCCATTTTATAGCGTGTCTTAGCTTAGGAAACAGGAAAGCGTCTACTTGTATGAATCTTTGTCAGATGATGACCGCTCTGATGGGTATAAGTGATGTAGCAACCATTGTCTTTCCGCGCTATATAGCCATGGTTAAACAGCCGCTGGCTTCCTGGTGCTGAATATCATCGATAATTAAGCATCCGCTAGTTTACTGGTGCTATATTATGCGTAGTTAAGCAACAGCTGGCTTACCTATGTTATGTACTCATGTTTAAACAACAGCTGGCTTACCTGTGTTATATACTCGTGTTTTAACAACAGCTGGCTTACCTGTTTATATTTGTTTAAACAACTGCTGGTTTATTAGTGCTATGTATTCTTGTTGAAGCAACCGGTGGCTTACCGGAGCTAGATTTTTTACCCCATTCTAAAAAATGAAAGGATGACCACAGTAGTCGTAGCTAACATAATAGTGTAGAGAGAGTAGTTTCAGTTACTTAGATCAGAGTTCCTGGCTGGTATCAAGGCAGAGCTCTCTTCCCTTGCAGTGATCATCCAGTATCACTGCGTTAAGGAAGGAGATTCCAGCTGAAGAGACATTGTCACATGCTAATAGGTTTGATGTTTCGCAATATTGTTACGATTTCTTGATGATTTTCAAGCATTTTTGAAAATTCAAAATTTTCAAGTAAAATTGAGATATATTTAAACTAAAGGGTTCTAAACTTAGATATTGTAAAGAACATTTAATTTTTAATTATAAAAGTAGTGAAATAAGTATTTGTTAATGGTATTTTTACTGTGACAAGTGTAGGGCATGAGAGTGTAAAAAAGAACACAGCCTAGCCCCGGAGCCTTACCTCGTGTTACCGTCCAACACATCTTGGTAATGTTATGATGCGTTGCTCACGTGATGCTTCTTCCTCACAATTCCACAGTTAAAGTCGGACTGTTAGTGATGGGAAGACTCACTACATTGCTACTGTCTCGCTTGCTGCTTTGTCTGCTTAGTTAACACACACACACACGTCACAACCAGTCACTACCAAGTAATATACTTGTCAAGTGCCTACCTGCACTACCGTCTTTACTTATGCACTAAGCTTTTCTGTCACACACAAGTAAATTGTATCTTCATTTCTAACTTCGTCATGGAATTTGCTCATTTATAGTCTTTGTCAGTTGGTTTTGGTATCCAAGTTTGTTAAAAAATCTAATAAGTATATTTTTCTCAGCTGCTTAGTCACATCTGAAAGTAAACAAAGTCTACGGTATCTATTCAGCTATAGGAAGGACAGTCTCGGGTCTGAACAGAGGCGGACTGGAAGATGGCGTCGCCTTGCAGGAGAGTAGAGGTCTTGGGAGACGATGTGTGTGTGTGTGTTGCCGCGTCGGCAACGCAGTAATGTTTAGTGGATCTGTTCCTTCCCGGGTTCTGCCTCGTCGCTAACCCAGGGGGCTAGAAATCGACTTGGGGAGGCGGGGGCTGGGGGATCAGGCCTTCCCACTAGCTCGGGCCATGTAGGTCGTCCTGCTGTGTGGGAAAGGAACTCTTGGAGATTTAACCAAGGAGGAAAGGATTATTTAGGTCGTTTGTCTTATCACTTGACAATTTGAGAAGGTTAAATGCAACTCGTGTCCACTGGGAAGGGTTGTGGTTGTCTCCGTGTCATTGCATTTTATAAAATCCCTCCGCTGTATATAAGGTCTTTCCTCGTTGTATAAGTTCTTCCTGCATCATTATATATGGTTTCTCCGTGTTATAAAAGGTCACTTCGTGATGTAAGAGATAGTGACTTCTTGTGGGAGGTCACTCATGTGTCAGGTGACTCTGGCCAACTCTTTCATTAGCTTCTTATTTTCTCCGTTTCTTTTTTTTTTTTTTTGGAATTGTCTCGAGGAGCGAGCGAAGTGAATGTGAATTTCTCTAGAAAGTATTTAACATTGGCTCTAGGGGTTGTTAGGGACACCAGGCTCTCTCTTCCCCTCCGTCCCAACACCTAAAATCTCTCTCTCTGTCTCTCTCTCTCTCTCAAAAAAAAAAAAAAAAAAAAAAAGAAACTTGCGTTGATATTTTGACATTAAAAAATCAAACTTTCTAATTTCTTGAACTAATGAATTGTAAATAAAAATCATCGAATCGAATTTATACTCGTAAACACAAAATCCGAAAAAAATCAAATCTCACAATACAGCCGAGGGTAAGAGAACCCAGTTTTATTGGACTCACATATTTTAAGATTAAAATTTAGTTTATCGCCACTAAGATATATATAACTTTGATGTGTATATTCTATTACAGTCTAACAACCATAATGATTATAATGATAACCATAATTTTTAAAGAGGTGGACCGGTAAGCCAGTGGAAGTCCTCGATCAGATGATCAAAAGCTCCAGTTGTGGGTCATCATATGACTAAGACCTGCGTCAGGAAACAGCATAGTGTATTTACACTATGCTGTTTTAACGAGTGTATATGCTCTACTAGGATGTGTATATATATATATATATATATATATATATATATATATATATATATATATATATATATATATATATATATATACTGTGTGTATTTAATCCACAAGTTTATATCACAGAAAACACAAATTAGGTAACTAATCGATATTTGTAAATCATTTTTAAATTCTAATTTTAAAGAAGGCTAATAACAGGTTTATGGTCATAAGACCAAGGAAAATGAAGCCTGTGGTAGGCCTGCTGAGACAAGCTAGGCAGGTCCCAACACTGTAGTAGGCCTGCTGAGACAAGCTAGGCAGGTCCTAACACTGTAGTAGGCCTGCTGAGACAAGCTAGGCAGGTCCTAACACTGTAGTAGGCTTGTTGAGACAAACTAGTAAGGCCCTAACACTGGTAGGCCTGCTTAGATAAGCTAGGCAGGTCCTAACACTGTGGTAGGCTTGCTGAGACAAAATAATAAAGTTCTAACACTGTGGTAGGCTTGCTGAGACAAAAGAATAAAGTTCTAACACTGTGGTAGGCTTGCTGAGACAAACTAGCTAGGTCCCAACACTATGGTAGATGTGCTGAGACAAGCTAGACAGATCCTAACAGTGCAGAAAGTTGTGCAAGGTATACAATACCGACAAGATGAAAGTTAAGACACATATGCAACATCTGGTTATCTTTAATGTAGATGTTTCTCCATCCAGTGGCTTTATCAATACAGATTCTAGATTTACGACTCAAGACATGCCTCTCACTGGCTATTCTTCGTCTCTCCTCACTTCCTTGCTCACCCACTTGTGGCTCTTACCTGTGAGTCCGTTCTGTTCTGTTCTGACAGTGTGTTGCAAAATATTATTATAACAGTTTCTTCTACAGTGCTACGTAGAGACAGTGTGAATATTACAATACCGACGAGTAGCTCAGTCAGATAAATGTACAGCAGGTAGGTATCTTTATTCCGAAACATTTCATCTACGCAATAGGCTTTTTCAGTCAAATATAGAGGAGGCAGCAAAGATAGTGGAGCAGTAAAGATGATGTTATAAGTCCATCACCCTCGAAGATGTAGTTTTGAGGGTGAGGGACTGACCACCTCAAAACTGCATCTTTAAGGGTGATGGACTGATTACATCGTCTTTACTTATCCACTACCGCTGCATTCTTTTTATGTGATTGAAGAGGCGTACTGTGTGAGTGAAACGTTTCGGAATAAAGATACCTAACTTAAGTTCTTTGCAGAACCAGGACTTGTAGACTTAGACTTACAGCAAGCACATTCTAGTGTACTCTTGTACAGTCTCCTTCCTCATTAACACACACACACACACACACACACACACACACACACACACACACACACACACACACACACACACACACACACACACACACACACACACACACACACGCACGCACACACACAGCAATGGTGGACACTCTAGCTGAGGTGGCAAGAAGGGCCCACTCAAGTAGAGCGAAGTTACTGGTCATGGGCGACTTCAATCACAGGGAGATTGATTGGGAAAACTTGGAGCCACATAGGGGTCCCGAAACATGGAGAGCCAAGATGATGGATGTGGTGCTGGCATATCTCATGCATCAATATGTTAGGGATACTACCAGAGAGAGAGGGGAGGATGAACCAGCAAGACCGGACCTCGTGTTCACCCTGAGTAGCTCAGACATTGAGCACATCACATATGAAAGGCCCATTGGAGCTAATGACCACGTAGTTATGAGCTTCGAATACATCGTGGAGCTAAAAGTGAGAGGGTAACAGGAGTAGAAAGGGAAAAGCTAAACTATAAAAGGGGGGACTACACAGGAATGAGGACCTTCCTGCAGGAGGTTCAGTGGGAACAGGAGTTGGTAGGAAAATCAGCAAACGAAATGATGGACTTTGTAACAACAAAATGCAAGGAGGCAGAGGAAAGGTTTGTTCCCAAGGGTAACAGAAATAATGGGAAGGACAGAACGGGCCCTTGGTTTACCCCAAGGTGCAGGGAGGCAAAAACTAAGTGCTCTAGAGAATGGAAAAAGTACAGAAGGCAAAGGACTCAGGAGAATAAAGAGATTAATCGACGAGCCAGAAACGAGTATGCATAGATAAGAAGGGAGGCGCAGCGGCAGTATGAAAATGACATAGCATCGAAAGTCAAGTCTGACCCGAAACTACTCTGCAGCCACATCAGGAGGAAGACAACAGTCAAGGACCAGGTAATCAGGCTGAGGAAAGAAGGTGGGGAGCTCACAAGAAACGACCAGGAGGTATGTGAGGAGCTCAACATGAGATTTCAGGAAGTATTTACAGTGGAGGCTGAAGGGACAACGGGGAGACAAAACAGTGGCGTACAGCAACAAGGGATATACCAACAAGTGCTGGATGAATTACACACACCTGAGGAGGTGGAGAAGCTCCTAAGTGACCTTGATACCTCAAAGGCGGTGGGACCAGACAACATCTCTCTGTGGGTCCTTAGAGAGGGAGCAGGGACACTACGTGTGCCACTAACCAAAATCTTCAACACTTCCCTTGAAACTGGGTAGCTACCTGAAGTATGGAAGAAGGCAAATGTAGTCCCCATCTTTAAGAAGGGAGACAGAAATGAAGCACTAAATTATAGACCAGTGTCACTGACATGTATAGTATGCAAAGTCTTGGAAAAGATTATCAGGAGGAGAGTGGTGGAGCACCTGGAGCAGAACAAGATTATAAACGACAGCCAGCACGGATTCATGGAAGGCAAAACCTGTGTCACAAACCTACTAGAGTTTTACGACAAGGTAACTGAAGTAAGAAATGAGAGGGAGGGGTGGGTTGATTGCATTTTCTTGGACTGCAAGAAGGCCTTCGACACAGTTCCTCACAAGAGATTAGTACAGAAGCTAGAGGAACAGGCACGTATAACAGGAAGGGCACTGCAATGGATCAGAGAATACCTAACAGGGAGGCAACAGCGAGTCATGGTCCGTGATGAGGTATCACAGTGGGCGCCAGTGACGAGCGGGGTCCCACAGGGGTCAGTCCTGGGACCAGTGCTATTCTTGGTATATGTGAACGACATGACGGAAGGGATAGACTCAGAAGTGTCCCTGTTTGCAGATGACGTGAAGTTAATGAGGAGAATTAAATCAGACGTGGACCAGACAGGTCTACAAAGAGACCTGGACAGGCTGGATGTGTGGTCCAGAAACTGGCTCCTAGAATTTAACCCCGCCAAATGCAAAGTCATGAAGATCGGAGGAGGGCAAAGAAAACTGCAGACAGAGTATAGGCTAGGTGGCCAAAGGCTGCAAACCTCACTCAAGGAGAAAGATCTCTGAGTATAATACCAAGTACATCACCAGAAGCACACATTAACCAGATAACTGCTGCGGCATATGGGCGCTTGGCAAACCTGACAAGAATAGCGTTCCGATACCTCAGTAAGGAATCGTTCAAGACTTTATACACTGTGTACGTCAGGCCCATACTGGAGTACGCAGCACCAGTTTGGAACCCCCACCTGGTCAAACACGTCAAGAAATTAGAGAAAGTGCAAAGGTTTGCAACAAGGCTAGTCCCAGAGCTAAGGGGAATGTTCTATGAAGAAAGGTTAGGGGAAATCGGTCTGACAACACTGGAGGACAGGAGGGTCAGGGGAGACATGATAACGACATACAAAATACTGCGTGACTAGTCTAGTGGCTAACGCGACGGGCTGGAGTTTTGAGACTCTATGACCGCGGGTTCAATCCCGGCCGGGGGTATGGTTTAAAATACTGCGTGGAATAGACAAGGTGGACAGAGACAGGATGTTCCAGAGATGGGACACAGAAACAAGGGGTCACAATTTGAAGCTGAAGACTCAGATGAGTCAAAGGGATATTAGGAAGTATTTCTTCAGTCATAGAGTAGTTAGGAAGTGGAATAGTCTGGCAAGCGATGTAGTGAAGGCAGGAACTATACATAGTT